GGCTCTGCAGCTCTCCCAGCCTCCGGCGCTGCTGCAGCCTATTCAGCCCACAGCAAAGACCCCGTGCAGGTGCCCGGTTCCAGTCTCAGGCTTCCCTCCGGGCCTCGTGTCCTCCCACAGTGCGCCCTCTCTGCCTTCGGGGCCGCGTTTTATTTCCGCCAAGCGGCGCCTCTCTCTGACGTCACTCCGCTCCAACTCTATGAAAGCGCGGCTAACGAGCCACGCGGGTGGTTCCCCGGCCTGCACACCGCTACCGCTCTCACCTCCTGCGGAGCATAAGCAAGCGTTTCCTCTGGCTCTGGGCCGGGGCTTCCCTCTAGCCCCATTGTTCCTGGGACACACTGCATTAAAGCTTGACAATTTTCAAAGAAAAATGTGTGTTTGAGATTATTTGAATGAGCAACATGTTGGGGGGGTAAGGCAAGTATAGTTTTTGTACATAGCTCTGCTTAAGGACTGGAGGTGAGATCTAAAAAAGGACTTGGATATTTTCAACAGGAGGTAGTAGATATGAGGGGTTTTAAGTCCATAATTGTGATTTAAAAGCAACAAGCCTATTTACTGTCTGCCTAACCCTGAGGCACCTAAACTTGGCAGGCATCTCCCCATGACCTGAAAGTGCTGTAGTCCCTTATTTCACACATACCCAGCACTGCCCAGACGTAAGCAACTGGCTTTGTAGTATGGGGTACAGCATCCATTCTTCTGAATACTAAGGATACATAGGAATTACTTAACCTGTTGGTTTGAGTACTTGACAAAGGGGGTGGAAATTGTGGGCTGTTGTCCCTGCTCCCAGGTCCATTTGTGCTTTTTACATTAAACAGTCACTGGATTAAAAAAACAGAAACAGTCCAGGGAACATGGACCACAGCACAGGACACCCTAAGTGCTTCCCAGCTGAGTACCTTAACTAGACTGCTGTAGTGTCATGCTCCCTCTTGCTGTCTCTACTAGCCTATAAATCTTTGAGGGAGTAGGGATTTCAGAGAGACAATTGTATTCAGTGCTTCCTATTGGCTAGCTCTAGGTTTGTGGGGTTTTTTGGATTGCCTTTCTGAGATGCTGGACTCCCCAAGCACTGTACAGGGTGCTCTAGGTTCTGGATTCCACTTCAGGGGCCAGCAGGGTGCTGGAGGCACCTAGGTTTTTCAGTGGATCTACCCCTAAAGGGTTAACAAAACTAAATATCCTAGGCAGATGCCCTGCCTCTTTACATTACTGCTGTGGAATTAAAATACAAAGACACATATGTGTCTGCAAAAAAACAGACTGGTGAGGTAAGGCAGTTTTCAGATAGTAAAGCATCTATCTCTAACTCCTTAATGAGCCATTAACTACAGTTGTGTGTAATTAGAATCCAGGGAAAACAAGACCTCAGTCAGATGGGACTTATTCTGACCTGCCTTCTGAAATTTGGTCCAAAGATTATTGTTAAATGTTATTTGTATTAAACATCCCAGTTGTCCCACAGAAGGGGAAAATATATTTTATCTCTGTGAGTTTTACTAACTTCTGTAGTGACCTCTTGTGTCCTGGAGAAGCAGCAGCTACCCAAAGCAAGTGGAAGAAATGTTGCGCTTTTTCCAAATTCTTCAGATTGTTTTTAAACTACTGAGAGCTACTTTTAGAGTTTTTAAATTCAGTAAATATTAAAAAAAAATCTAATGAACTAGATAACAGTGTATTTTAACCTCTTCTGACTAAATACGCTGCATCAGGCCTGTAAGCACTGCAAAAACAGATGGTTATGTTTGGGTTATAAGTGATCAGAGGTCAGCTCTGGCTGGATACATGTCTTTACTCTAAATAGAGTAACAGATGGCATATATTCATGTTTACAACACAACAGCTATTTTAGTTTTCTGGAATTTCTTTCCCAAGTGACTTCCTAGTGAGTTATACAGTACACACGCTATTTACCATTAAATAGTTCTTTGACCAGAGGAAAAGACCGTTAAATCAGCAGCATCTTATTGTCCTGAGAAGTGATCTTTTATTATGAAGTCAGTGCCTTTCAATTCACATTGCAGTCATGAATGAACCTGTTTTGTAAAGTCTGAGTCTCTGTCCTCTAAGTCACTACTGCTACCCTAAAAACCCCTGCTTTTAAATAATAGAAGGAAGGTACCGTGGAGAACAAAAAATAGAAAAGTTACTTAATAAATGGGGCTTAATTAAAATCTATATAACATTGTTACATGAAGAGTTGCATTCAATATAGACCTTATGACCTTGCCAAAATACTTGATTCTTGGTAAAATCAAGCTCCTTTAAATTGCATAGCTACTGGATTCTGGTAGAATATGTCTGCAACACAAATTTAAATATCTTACACAAAAACAAATCGTACCAAATATTCCCACCCTGCCTTTTAAAACACACGGATCCATCTAAGAGCTTTATACCTCTAAATAAGATATAGTACATAGTCACCGTGTACTTTTAAATTGGCAAGTTTAATGTAGCTATCAAGTCTACAATGTCTGCTCTAACTGCAGGTTTTAACAGCAAGTTTCCCAGACTGGAATTCTGAGAAAATTCATTGGAAGGGGTGAGGTGCTTCAATTTATTAAAACATAAAGGAGGAACAAAGCATATTAAAGTACAGTTAATAGATGCTGGGATATTATGTAACCTGTATTGGCATCAATGGAGTCTGTGTTCATGTTAAAGACCAGAAGGTGGTTCCTTATCTACACTCCAAAAGTGTGTTTATATTGCTTTTCTTTTGCCTGTTTCCTGGGTTTTACAGGTTTTTGTTTTTTTAATGGATTTTTGTATGCAGTGGGGATTTCTGTAGTTCAACTACCTCTTCTTGGTAATCACAAAAACTGTAATCATACAGCTAATGGGAGATAGCTAAGCCTTTTGCCAATGTACCATGTTGCAGTGACGTTGACTCCCAGTAATGTCACTGTGAGTTCCCCAGGGCAGACTAGGTTCACTGTGGACATAGATTATAGGAGAACAGAATCTATCAAATATTACTATACTTGGCCCTATGACTAATGATCAGTACTTGGTAAGCCATTTTGCAGAACTGCCATTACTACACTTCACTGTTTTAGTCTAGAATATGCAGCCTTTTCTTATGTTTGTAGAAGTGGTCCCAGCAATGGCTATATTTGTAGGAGTAAGTGTTCAAACAGGTTTGCACAGTCCAACCTTAAATAATCACTAAACACGTACAGCTTGATTCTAGGAACTGTTGTTGAACTAGCAGTATAGCATTGGCTTCTGCTCTGAATAGTGCCTGTTTGCCTTGAGCACTGAAACTGCGCAAGAAAGCAACATTGGTAGCCTAGTGCTGCTACATCTCAGCTTATCACTTGCTGCTTACCTACATGAAAGCACAGATCACCCATGCAGGATTACTCCCAGAAGAAATTACTCTATAGTCAAGTTCTTTTAGGAATATGCAGGATAGCAATAGGTCTATAGAAAGGGTTCTCCTCCCTGCCCCACCCTAGTGAAACATACCTTTTATTAATTGTTTTAAATACTCAGCAGTTTTGGCAAGATGCTTTATACAATATTTTATAAAATCCTACCTTAATAGCCGATGTGTTAAACAATATTTCTATATAAAACATATTACATTTTCTACAGCTCATAAGTCTTTTTTTGTTCTATTTTTGCATAGTCTTCAGACAGTAAAGGGCAGAGGAGCATTCCTAGCATCCCAGGGTGGAAAGACAGAAAGCCACGAGCACAGCAACGGCACTCTGAGATAATGCTTCTATCGATGTCCACCGTACTTAGCTGTCCAGTCTGTTCTGCCATGCACTGGCTGAACTGGGGGAGGGCGGGTTAAGATGCTCATGTGTTTTGCTGCTGGAGTGTAAGTAGGTCCTGATAATTGAGCACGGGCAGCTTTTGTTTTCCAAGAATAATCTAAAAGAAATCAACAAGGAAGGCAGAATTAAAAAAGTGACTAGGTGTTAATCTTGCCAGTTCAGAAAGCAAGAAAATTGAAAGCTTATAACACTTTTGTGGAGATGAATTATGCTAATAGTTCTCTTATGTTCTCAACTGTGTGAGGCTTCACTGCTTCAACATGAAACACCGATTACAGGATCGGTACAGCAGCAGATTAACTGAACTGTGCAGTAGTTTCTGTATCTCAAAAAGTGGAAGTAGTTTATTGATAAGTTTCCCCTGCCAAGCACTTGTTTTGCCATGGTCCTTGCTACAATGCTTTCAGGTAGAAATTTGGTTCAAGGTTGGATTTGTACAGTATTTAACAACTAATTCTCTTAGTCGGTGTGAAAACATTAACTTTGAGAGTGTAGGTAGGGGGCTGGTTCTTCATATGCATATTCTGAGATCAGGGAGGCAGGCCCCATCCACCAAGAAGAGATTCAGTTCAGAATTCGAACCTTCACCCACCCTTGGGGATTTTTCACCTCTTTTGCTTTCAAGTAATCTGGATTTTTTGGAAGACGCACCCTTAAAATATTTCCCTGAAAAATATTTAATCTGAACATCTTTGTGGTGGTAGGCTAGTTTTTCTTTACCTTTTTTAGGATCACTGACAGTAGAAAGATCTGATAGGCAGGGAAAAAAACAAAAACAAATGAGTGCCCAACTTATTTAAGAAAACAAAAGGAAGCAAGAACAGAACTCCACATTGTAAGAAAGCAATGGACTACATGAAAGTATGTATTAGCACGCTATTAGAGAAGTGAGTGAGGAAAACTGTTGGGGCATCCTGTTCATTATTACCCTACCAAGTAAGAAGTCTCTTGCAGTTGTTTTCAATTTTACTTGAAATAGCTGTAGCAGAGGGATTCTGCTACCTCTTCAAGGAAACTATTCCATATCTTAACTGACTTCAGCATCATTTTTCTTCATATTTAAAACACATTTTTCGTTAATTAATTTCATTCTATTACTTCTAACAATGTCCCCTTGTATCACCATAAATGACTCCTTTCTATTCTTGATGCTCACAACAGACTCAGCATATTTGAAAGTTATGTGCTCCTGGTAGACTTTTTGAATCCTGTCCATCTGCTGTAGCAAATCAAAACTTACTCTTGTTGTCTGGCTTTATTAATAAGAAATTAACAGTAAGATAATTAAGTTTAGCTCAACCCTGGTCACCAGAAGTCACTGTCTGTAAGACTTCTACCTCAGGACTGATCATCCTGCCCTCTGTCTATCTAAATCAATATGCCCTCTGTCTATCTAAAAAGTCATTCCCATGTCCCTTATATCTAGGTTCGGTAACAGGCCATCTGCAACAGTTATTTAGTAAAGCACACTTAATGCCAAGCAGCAACATAACTTGCCAGTTGATGGGGTTTTGCAGGCCAGTATTATTTGCCTATGGGGTACAGGGTCAAAGCAGTTCAGGCATCTCGTTACAGGTCCAGAGGCATGAGTTTCAGCCTGCTTTACACTTGTGCCAAAGGCTGTGCCCAGTTGACCCAGTTATGAATGGGTGCCCAGGCACTTGGGCTGGGGAATCAAATGCGCTCAGATGTGATGGTAGCTACCTTACTTCTCTGTGTCCCATTGACTACAGAAACTCCTATAGGATGCTAGGCACAGGAAGACTTGACTATCAGCTTGTTACAGCTCCTTTAATTGATTCATACTTAGTTCATAGATCCTGAGCTAGCTTCCACTTGTCACAACCGAGTTAATCAGTGCCCATGCCACTTGCAAGAGATACCATTCAAACCATCATCTGATCAACTAAAGGTTAAAAAGAACTCCTGGCCAGAAACTTAAATTTATGCCCACTTCACAAACGAGAAACGAAACTTAAGACTGGTCAGGGTGAAAGGGGATAGCCCTGCCATAAATCCCTGCAATTGGTGAAGAAACAAGCGTAAACCCCTCATCATAACCTCATACGTAACAGACAGAAAACCTAACCCACTACCTTGTAACCTGATAGCAACCTGAGAACACAAAGAACTGCTGCTTGCCAGAAAATTAAAGATTCCACTTAGCAGTTCATCATTGGATATCTCTGTGAAACCCCTCTGCCTATAAATAGTTTAACGGTTTCCACCCAAGGCAGAGAACCCTGGGGAAAAGACTGAGGAACAACCTAAGTCCATCACCAGAGTATATTGACAGCTTGATCACCTGTCAGACATCAGACACTCCCCGTCATTCGTTAAATGTTGACGTAGTAAAACCCTGCAGGCTCGGTAGTTCGTTCTTGGCGCGCTTCGTTCGTCGCTTCATTTATCATCGCTTAATGTTACAACCTGACTGCGTTCGCTCAACTGTAATCGAAACAACTGTAACAGAAAGGCTCAGCCTGCGTTGCACGTCACTATCTGGGCGGCGTAAGTAAACAATCTTCTGTAACCAACACGCGTTTGTGCCTGATTAATTTCACCTCATCCATCACTACCCGCCTGTTGAGGCGACAGTTTTACGGCTCCGGGTGGGAGTCAGTAAGCAGCTGACCGGCCGCTGCTCTGATCTCCGACACCACTGAGATAATTAAGGTCTTTCTGTTAATTTCATTAGGAGCTGGATTAGGGTCTAAATCATTCCTCACAAGCCTGTTACTTCCACCTCCTGAACATTCAGGTTGATTTTTGCTCAGCTCCTTCCAATTTGTCAGCATCTGGCTGGTAATAAGGTGCCCTGAATATGAGGTCTATTACACAGGACAAAAGGGAAGACTTGCATGCAACAGATGTTTTAAAAATACTGTATGATGAAATATAATGGTTCCTGTCACATGCTTCAGCACAATCTTTAACTATACTGAGAGTTAGTCACTGGCTTTTATTTTCTGTAAGATAAAATAAGAAAGCCTAGCAGCTTTGGCATTTTTTGCTTACAAAGCCACTATGCTTTATAATATTTCACTCATCCAAAAGTATGTTCTTCTTTCAAAGTCTAAGGATTTGCATAGCTAATTACCCACAGAGATGAAAATACAGTGACCAACCATCTTATATGGGGACTAGTTAAAACAGCTTGCCTAGCAAAGTAATTTTTAAATAAAATTAAGTGCAATAGTATTGGAAACCTTGTGATTTGATTACTTTAAAACAGAAGCTGAATATAAATTGGAATTTATTACTGTTAACTGTACTTCTGACCTTGTTGGGGGTTTTAACAGGTCCCTGGTAGAAGACCCATGCCATTATGCTGTGTCAGTTTATTTATCCTAAGCAAGGATCTGTCCCAGCATTTCAACATACAGGGAAAAATAACTCTTAAAATGCCATCTTTGAAAACTGAACATTATTCTCGGTTTATGGTGCTGTCCATTACAGAACTATCAAGACATTTCTTACCTGATGTTGATGCACCCAGAGGGGCTAGCTGTATCCTTTGTCCTGCTGATCCAACTTCTTTTTCCTGAAAGGAAGGGATATATCCTCCAGAGGGACTGTAAGGAGCACCTACAAAGCCAAGATTTTTTGTTGACATGTGCAGTTTCAGCTGTATTTTGCAGTTATTTCAAGACATAATTATGTTTGTACAACATGCCTGCTAAGTACCATTCGGCTTGATAAGATATTGATGTGTATTTGTTTAGGAAACGTGTGCATTTGCTTCTTTACTTTCTATACTAGCATTGCTTTTCCAAACATACATACAATACCCCTTATACCACAATTTAGTAGGAGCAAAGAAAGCAGGGCAGGGAGACATCATCAGTATTTGGATTAAACTCAGACCTCAAGGAAGGAATTTAAGTCAACCTTAGCAAAGGAAAATCTTACCTTTGGAAAGAAAGCTTTTTAAAGGGCTTGATTTTTCATCTTTTAAAAGAGTTTGGGGACAGGGGTAGATTAATGCACCAGGCATGGGGCCCTTGCCAACCAGGGGCCCCCTGGGAAAAATCTAACACTAGGGGAGGTGAGTAGGGTGCTTGTCCCAGGAGCTGGTGCTAGATGGGGACAGTGAAGTGAGACCAGCATATGCCAGGTGGGCAGCCCCGCCATGTTGCTCTGGGGGTCCTGCCAGGGGGTCTCTGCCAGCTGACCAGAGCACACAGAAGCTTCTAGGCCATGAGCAAGTGCCTTCCCTACTCAGTGCTGTCCTTTTCAGGGCCCTGCCAGAAGGCTTGTTTGTTGCAGAGCCAGGCTCCCACAGCCCCAGTGCAGGCCTCAGCTGAACCCTCTCTGTGGCTCTGCTCCCAGGACCCAGCTCTCTGGGGAAGAAAGAGCCTGGCCTCACCACAGCAAGTCCTTCCCCTAGGCCATAGCTCCTCAAGCAGCTGCACAGATGGAGGGAGCTGCTGGCAGGTCCTGCCTGGCACCTCTCCTGGGACCCAAACCAGAACTGCCCACAGTCATGGGGCCAGGAGAGGCTGGAGGCTGCACCCTCTCCCTGCAGGATTTGCAAGCACAATCATTTAAAAGGTAAGACACATTCTCATGAGATTTTATAGGTTTGTATTTTTTCACATTTTGGTTATAATTTAATTACATTAAAACAGGTGTAATGGGTAATAAAAAAGACAGTTTTTAAGTATATGAAGTTTAGCACCTTTTAAACGTTTCAAGAATGATTAAAAAAACCCATTGAGATGTACTGTGCAGGCCTACTGCTTTATTTTAATTGCAAGAATCTCTATTGGTATTCTTAGACTCATACTCAAGGCTATCCGTATGGCCTGTATTTTTCTTGTAGTAGTTTACTGTAGTGTAGGTACAATGTAAAATGTGTATTTAAAAATACAGTCAAACAAGAGTCTACATGACCACTAAACTAAAATATCGTTCCTTTTGTATTATTATACATTTATGGCAATCCCACACATCTGAGTCATTTTCCAAAGGCAGTTTTATTCAATTTTGTGTGGCAGAATTGAGTAGTTAATTTCAATATTGCATGTTGTGCTTTATTTATTAATGCACTGTGTAAACATTTAATGGGTCTATTTTGTAATGCTTTTTGATACATTCATGTTTATAGTGGGGGGTGGGGGGCCTCCAATTTTCTGTTTGCCCAGGTCCCCAATAAATCTTAATCTGCCACTGTTTGGGAAACAGTGTCGTTTGAAGTTTAAGATGAATTAAGACACCGAACAGTTGTTGCATAATATTTGGCCTGTTTTTTCTTTTGATGGTTAGTGGTTCAGGGACTGTGGGGTACTGAGATGTAGCTGGGGACACTAAAGATCAGATCTTCAGAAGCACTTAGGTGCATAACTCACAACGACTAAGTTCTCAAACAAGCTCACCTCTCATTCAGGAATCAAAACAAGGCGCCACAGTTTTGAAGGAGCTGAGCACTGCCTCGATGGCAACTGCTTGGTGCTGAACACTTTTTAAAGCTGACTCTCATTTAGCTGCCTGAATGGGAACTACACTCTTCTAAAAATCTGGCCCCAGTTGTCTAGTCAGGATAAAACTGCTAATCTAGAGCTTTTTTGACATCTGCGTACATCAGACTTAAGTGTAGGTGACATAAATTAAAACAGGATTGCATGGTAATGAACGGGGGTGTGTGAAAGGGTTAGAATGACTGACTGGAGGAGGGAAAGAGAGAAAGTGAATTTTGGTTTTGCTGAAGTCTTTAATACTTCTGTAGTACTAGGATTCCACTCATGCTTTTAAACCATTCTCCTCCCATAGTGCCATGCTGCCCTTTCAGTAGTTTAACTGTTGCCCACCAAGGCTTTTAACTCATGTTTATTCTAAAAGCTAGTTTGGGAATTATAAAATATTGAAAATTTATCCTTATAAATCAAAAGTGGAATTGATCTTAAGCCACAAATTACACGTAGACCCAAATGTCCTCAATGGTTGGAAGTTCGAGAGTTGAGGCTTCTGATTTTGCCCGATGCAGAATTAACTGCTAGCTATAAGGTTCAGGCTATCATACTCTCTCAAGCTCTAGTCATTGTATCCAGTTTAAGTTCAGGCCTTTCTCTACAGCTCTGTCTATAGTTGAAAAATCCAATTAACCACCATTCAGAGTCCTCAACATATACACAAGACACCATGTATCAACACACCAAACCAGCACAGACATTTGGTACATCATTTGGACTGCTCCAGCTCTGAGCGTGATTAACTACTGTGTGGCCTCCACCATGTCAGCCTCCTCTAGTGCTGCATTAGAACAGATAGCAAAGACAATGCCACACATGCTACAGTGAAACTGGTCCTCCCAATGCAATCCCAGAATGTTCCTTTTCCTCTCCTTCCCCCAATCGTGTTACAGTTTGAAGTGTTGGATCTATTGGCTGTAAACCTGGCTGCATGCACCCCAGACGAGTCTTGACTGACTTCAGCTCTTCTGAGCCTGCCCACATCTTCCTGCATGGGAACCTCAGTGAAGGTAGCACTGAGCCAACCTCAGGTATTCTAGCCTCAAACCTCCATCTGGAGCAGGACTGAAAGCAGATGAGACAGTACTTGGCTTCCCTGACTCTCCATCCTACATCAACAGAACAATAAAGAATGACTAAGAAGTCTAGATGAAAAAAACAGCTTTAATAGAACATTCAGAAAAATAACTCTTCTGGGGTTTTTTTAATATTTTCTTCTTCCCTTTTAAGGATTTGCCTGAAAATCAAGAAGAACAAAATCAACTGTTGGTTAGTGCAAAGAAACCCACGCTGGATTGGAAGGGATGCACCTTCCATGCTGGATTGCACCTTGATGGGGTTGGTCACCATTTGCTAGCTGACAGCTTAGCAGCATTTCCCATAACTCTGAGTTCTGAAAGAGAGAATATGACAAGGTAATTCATTAACAGATCCACAACATGACTGCCTCCATACTGCATCATCTATATCCCTTGAAAAAGTCACCTACCTCTTCAGAATGCTCAGTCACCCATTTGACTGCCTCCTGCCCCTAGTTTTCTGATAAGTCCTCTGGTGGTTCTCTGGCAGTAGACCAAGGGGAATGGATAAGAGAAACTGATTGGATCACATGGCAAGGTCTGGAGAAATGGTCTTTTGCTAAACACGAGCCATTTCTGCTGCTGGAAGCTAAAGGGAAACACAAAGAAGAAATAAAAGGTTAGTTCCGCTTCAAATCAAAATACAGAAAACTAAACCTAGAAATATATTGAAAAGATGAACAAACAGAAAGTTAATTCCCTTACCTCTTTGACCACTGCCATATACGGAGGGTTGTGCTCACTATGATACACATCAGGCCTCCAGGCTCACTGGTGGTCTAGTAGCTGGTGATCAGGAAGCTGTTGACTCTGTCACAGTAGCAACAAATGGAAGTGTGCAGCAGGGTATAGCCCATGCCACTCGCAATGCATGCCTTGTTCCTCATGTAGGACATAGCCATTGAAGTATTTGAAGCAAGCAATGGATTAATCCCAGAACGTGAACTACTGCAAATGCTTTTATTATAAATGGTAGGTTATATGCACTTGTTATGTCAGGTACTGTGGGATAGACGGAAGAATCGATAGGCTCTGTGATACTGGCAGTGAGTACTAAATAACCGTGCAGTAACCGGAGTTACTGTATAGCAGCACGGTTGAACGGCTTTTTCACGATGCTGACTGAGCAGCAGTGATGAACTACTGTGCAGAAGCACTGCATCACGCTTCCTACCATGTGACGCTACTCTGCAGTAGTAACAAGCTACTGTGCAGTCAGTGTCTTGTGTAGACACAATTTGTGTGAAGCAGGACGCCTAGGGAACCCCTTCTCCACACTAGAGTGATGGACTCTAGTCAGTTTCAGTTCTTGAGTTTAATGGTTCAGGATAGTAACCAAGCTTGCTTACTTTGGCTTGATAAGGATGCAAAGATATGGTTGAGTTTTTCCAGTCTGAAACACTACAGCAGTGATTTTCAACCAAGGTGCCAGAGTTCCACGAAATCACGAACTGAGTAGACCCCTAGTTATAGGTGAAATTCACTCTGCTCTCTGCCCAAATAAACAGTCATTGACTGACTAGTCCCACCTATATTCCTACTTCCACCTGCCACTAGAAAAGTTTGTGTGGCACCGTTCAGTGGCAAACAAACCCTGTGCCTTGTTTCTTTTCATCCTGGCCCTCAGCCCCTGGAAAGCAGAATCAAAATGATCTTATTGCAGTCAGGATCCCTTATGCTCATAAGGAAGGGAAGAACAGGATTGGGCCCTATGTGGAATAAGAGGAATTGCAACTCAAACAAAATTATATGATTGCTTGGAATCCTCTGTACAGGAGCAATTGCAATAAGAAAGGTAAGATCACAAAACGTACAACAGCAAAACATGGAACCTGCAAAGAATAAACTAATCCAGGCTACAATTGCTAAGTTACCTTTTGGCTCCTCTAATTTTTCATTCAACCTTTCTTTGCATGATAGTTTTTCAATTGGTTTAATTATGTTTTCTTCTGTAGAGAAGGGAGATGAAAGAAAAGGGTGAAAAGACAGGCCTTTTAAAACAGTGAGATGAAGAACTGTTTAGGTGACTTAGAAGCAGGGAAAGTATCTGAAAGCAAAGCAAGTCAGAGTGAATGAACAGTATCCTTACTGATATAATAGGTTTGCTAAAGTAACAAATTCTGCTACTTAACTTACTATCAGGTTTCTAATTAGGGGAAGAAGAATATAATTTAGTATCAAAATGCTCATAGGAAATATAGTAAACTTCACTATGGCAAACGCTGTTTATAGCAAACCCCTACTTTTAGCAATCCCAACTACAAAACTGTTTTTCATTATTATGATTCAGTAAAGTAATTAACAGTATTACAGCAGACTCCTCCTGTTAAACTTTTCCCCACCTCCTTGGAGATTTTGTTATAGCAAGACTGTGCTGTATAGTATCAGCTGCAGGGCTGACTGGACCTAAACCTGTCATTCTGTCTGAAGAGTGTTTCATAATTATTGAACAGTTAGTTCCTGTATTAGGGTCATACTGGGCACATTTACAAGATACTAACTGCACAATAGTGTAATAACACTGTGCAGTAGTGTGCTGGGCAAAACCCATGCTAATACACTACTGCGCAGTAGTGTCAGGTTACTGCACAGTAAGCATCACTAAAAACTCATGCTCCAGCATTACTGCACAGTAGCATGAGTTACTATGCATTGATTTAGTACTTGGCTATCCAAGTACTAAACTTAATGTGCAATAACTATGGTGCATTAATGAACATGTAGATGTGCGCACTGAAGGAGAAAACAAATTCAAAGTGAGAAGCTTAACTGATAAAAGGACTAAACTAAAAGGAGAACAGCAGCTTTATACCAAGTCAGCTTGAAAACCCAAGTATAATTGCTATTTCTGTTTGCCTTTCTGACCTTGTCCCCTTCTCCCTCACCCTTCTCTGCCCACTAGTGTAAGTGCTTAACAATCCTATTTTACTCCATCTTGCTTAAATGTTTTTCTTTCCATTGCTGTTGTGTGACAGACCAACACACAACTTGTAGGAAATGTACAAACTATAAAGAGGAAA